TGAGGGAGGGGACCCCAAGCCCTCTGCCTTCTCAGCAGGCCTCTCGGACAAGGACTGTGTCTGCTGCGCGAAGGGGTGCAGGCAGCAGGGCAGCCCAGGCTGGGTCTATTTATACACTCTCAGCACCCCGAGGTTACACTGCAGCCAGGACATGGCGCAGGGCCAGAGCCCGCTATTTATATCCTCTTGGCAGGCTCAGAGGAGCAGGGCATTTCAGAGGCCTCTTCCACACAGACCGGGGAGAAACAGAACCCTCTTTCCCACAGCCCCCAGCCCCACACACACTACACTCACACACACATATATACATATGCACACTCACATATGCATATATACACGCACCATACCGTCACATACATGCTCACATGCATATACTCACGCATATATATACTCACACATTTACACATGTATACACATGTGCACTCACACCCATATGCACACATGCATATATACACATTCCCACATATACACACATATACACATATAAACTCACATATATACACACATTTACTCACATATATACACACATGCACACTCATACACGTACACTCACACATGCATATATACACACAGAGATATGCACACATACATACTCACAGGCATATACATATGTGTGCACACATTCACACACATGCACACACACATATATATACACTCTCACACACACAATCTGGACCTCTATGCTCATCCTTGTGGTAAGTGTGTCAGCTGAGGGTAGAAACAAAAAAGGAGGCCATAGCCCACTGCGGGGCTGGGCAAGAGAATTCAGCCAAGTCCCATGGGTTCATTCCCAGAGACCCTTGGGCTCTCCAGACTCCGTATCAGGACTTGTTAAAGGACAAGCCTCTACTGGACGGAAGCCCACAAACCAAAGGCTCATGGGTGACAAGGTTGAGTGAGAGGCCCAGGCTGCCCCTCCAGGACCAGCCGGGACCCTGGCTAGAGCAGGAAGCTTCCACTCTCACCTGTCTGATGCTGGTCCAAGGGGGGATTTGGGGGTGCTTCCAGCAACGCCAGGGCCTGAGCAAGGAGACCTCCCTGTGCAACCAAAGACCCCTTCAAACCCGAATACTCCGCGGTGAGGGAACCTCCTACGTCAGCAAGGGCGTCTATACCACTGACATCACACACTTGCTCTCGGACAGTGCAGCTGCGGTGGGCTCCAGCCACTGTTCCCAGGAATCCCGGGCCGGAAGTCCCTCAGAAAGAAGCCAGGCCTCTCCCCGAGCAGAGGGGTGAGGGGGCCAAGCAGGACTGGGCGCTGCAGCCCTGGAGCACGGGGCCTCATTCCCAGAGTCAGCCCAGAGTCCTGCTGCCCCTGTGTCCTTAAAGCACCCAGGACAGGAAGGCTTGGGGGTCCCCAGTTCACAGGAAAGGTCTCCCCTGTGGTGCCCACCCTGGGGGGAGACACCAGGTGGAAGCCAAAGCCAGAGGGAAGAAAGCGCCCTCCTTCCCGGGCATTTTTCCGGTGCCCCTCTCCAGCCACCATCACCCCCGACTCCCCCATGGATTCCCAGGGTCCACGGGGCAGCAAGCCGGCTGGCCTGCAAGCGCGTGGAAAGAAGCCAGCTCCCCTCCTTCAAACCACCCTCCCACACCACCCCGCCCACTACTGAGTCCCCACCTGAACACCTTTTCCTTCTACACGGTGAAGTGTATCCCCTAATTCTCCAGTTTCTGGCTCCCTCACTCCAGAGGAACAAACAAAGAACGCCTCTGGTTCTTCCAACCGACACAGATGTTCCACAGGCACCAAAGCCGGCCTGCTCCCAGCTCGCTCGCCCCCTCGGGGCCACCGACACCTCAGAGACACACATACTGTCCCTCCCTGAAGCACCGGGAATAAAGGGGGTGCTGGTGTTCCTGTTGTCCCTCCGCTCAGAACTCCGCGGTGACATCGGGGTGAGCCTGGCCACAGCCCCCTCGTGCCCGGGAGCACCTGGCCCACTGGGTGGGTCCCTGGGCTCAGAGGCACCACCTGGATCGCTGGGCTGGGCCTCAGTTCCTCACCCATCCTGTCGTTCGCGTACACTGTGTGTGAGGAGGCCCAACAGCACCGCGTCAGCATCGGAACAAGGAGGGGACGCACCTTCGAGCAGGAATTAGTGCTCCTTCCACCGGGTGTGGGGTGGAGCTGTCCGTGCATTCTCTGCTCTTTCCTGGCCACCAGGAGGCCAGCGCTCCCCCGGCACTGCTTCCCGCCTCTCCAGGCTCTGGGCTTCTCCCTCTAAGCGCTCGCTCGTTTATGCACAGTTTGATTTTAAATCGCCCCAATTCGTTGTGTGTACTTTTTGTGTGTGACAAGGTGGATATGTTTTTAAAAGCAGGGCTTTCCCAAGGCCTGCAGCCAGCAATGGGGAGCAGCTCTCCGCTCAACTCCAGCAGCAGCTGCTCCAGAACAAGGAGACCATCCCTGCCATGTGCACACAGCCCAGCGCTCCCCTCAGACAAAGAAGGGTTCCCTGTCCTCTGCAGGCCCTGCCCCCCCAACACCTCCCATACCTCCCCCCTACCCCCCGCCTGCCTAGCCCTTCTCACAAGGTGGTCTGCACCCACTGCCTGGCTTCTGCCTCCCTGCCAGGCCTCCCACTGTAATGGGCTTCCACCCTCCACACACACACATGCACACTCTCATATACACACGCACACACTCACACACATTCACACACATACAGACTCTCACACCCTCTCACTCACACATGCATATACACTCACACACCTGCAAACTTGCATACACGCACACTCTCACATACTCTCACACTCACACACATATACGCTCTCCTGTCCTCTCACTCCCAGATACACTCCGTGAGGCACCACACCACGCCCTCCCTCCCTCAGGAGCCCCTCCTCTTCTGGATCCTGGCCCACCACCCTCTGGCTGTCCTGGGCCCCCCGAGCCTCCCTGTCACAGGTTCCTCTTCCTGCGTCCCTCCGTTACGACTTGGTGCTTCTCTTACCATCTAAGCACTGAGGATGCCTACACCGCAGGCACCTCCTGCCTACACTCATCGTGGACTCTACCAGCCCTCCCACCCCATCTCACTCACTGCCGGGGCTTTCATCACCAGCGGGGCACCCAGCACGTCCCAGCCCCCTCTCCCCTCCGGCCCCCGCACTGAGCGCCAAGCCCATGGGTCCGGGCACCTCCAACACTGCACATCCAACACCCACACGTACCAAATGGCCCCATCGCCAGTTAGCTATTCACCCAGGAGACACTGCGGGCACCAGCTGTGTACCCATCCCAGTGACGCCTGTGGCCTGCTCACCACACGCCAGGCTCCGCGTACAGGAGGTGGTGAGGGATCACCAAACAGAAACGGCTTTGCCTGCAGGGAACTTGGGCCAGTTACCCGTCAAGTCTACTCGCCAATCAGCTCTGACACGACACGCCCCCTCCATCGCCACAGCCGCTACCTTAGCCCAGGCCGGCGCAAGCAGCTCGACCAGATCCCGGCCCTGACATCCTTGTGCTGTGTGACCTCAGGCAGGTTGCTTTCTCTCTCTGGGCCCTCATTGGGCACACAGAGACGGTAACAGACCACCTCAGGTGCAGCCTTGTTGCAGGGATTAAGAGAGACGAGCCACAGGACGGACGGTGTCCGGTAGATGGCAGGCGCTCGCTTTCTGCACCGTTGTGAGCCCTGCTTCTCCAGCATTCTCGCTCGGCCTGCCCGCCTCTGGCCTCCTCACCGCATGGCCCATATTCCATACGTGCCCACCACCTGCCCGGGTCCCTCCTGCCCTCCAGCCTTTGTATATGGTTTTCTAGCCGACTTACTCCCTGGCCTTTTCCCTCCCGTTTTCCAAGGTTCAGCTCAAGCCCTGCCCCTCTCTGGACCCCCAGGCTGAGGGGGATGCCCCTCCCTCCCCTGTGCTCCCTCCTCGGGGCGCCCTTGGCCCTTGGCCCAGCGACTGGGACCACTGCTCTCCTGTCTGGCTGCCTTTCTGGACCGGATGCTCCGATAAGAGAGCATCGTGCTCACCTGTGCACGCCCAGGCCTTATAGCCTGCACGGGATGCGAGAGGGGCCCGATACAGGCTTAGCAACAAACCAGAAAAGCAAGAGAAGCATGAAGAGGCAACCTCCAACCCACCGTAGCAGCAGCAACACCCTCCTCATAATTAGGCTGTGCTCTTTAAACATATGCGAGTGGCCAGGCTCTGTGCTCAGCTTTGGACACCCATTATTTAATCACAGTAGCCCTGGGACACGGGTACTTTTATTCCGGTTTTACAGGTAACGGGATGGAGACACAGGACGTTTAAAAACCTTTACTCCGGCGGCAGACAGGAAGTCGAAAAGCCTGGATTCAGACCCGGAACTCTGGGACCCCACATGGGCTCGGCTCTTGATGGGGAAGAATCTGGCTATGTGCCCCCGAGAGCCCCTCCCTGACAGCCACACGACCTCATGGGAATATTGGGGTGTTTCTGGTGCCAGAGATCTATGATTTAAACCAGTGTTTCCCAAACTATTAACATGTGTGTACCCCTTCTATAATTTTCGTAACGCTGAGTACCCCTCGTACTCATGAGAACGTAGAATTAGGCGCAGCTAAGCATGGTGCAGTGCATATCCCCACCGAACTCCGGTGCAACATGTACCCCCACCAAACTCTTCCCGTACCCCTGGGGGTACGCGTTCCACACTTTGGGAAACACTGAAACTAACAGCTCCTTGGTTTCCCCACGGAGCTTAGCATGAGGCTGGGCGCAGAGAAGGCAAACAACAGACCTGTGCTGAGGGAAGGAGGGAGGGAGGAAGGGAGGGAGGGAGGGAGAGAAGGAAGGGAGGGGAGAGGAGGGAAGGGGAAGAGATGACAGGAGAGGTGAGGGGAGTGGAAGGAAAAGGGAGGGAGAGAGGGAGGGTGGCAGTTTATTCTGCACACGCCCAAGTCTTTGCTGGGCCCAGGATCATAACCCAGCAGACCCAGGGGATGCTGGGAAGGGGGGCTCCGGCCTGTGACGCCCTGCAGGGCGGCCGGCACTCTTACCGGCACAGGTGGTCGGTCCGGCACACGCTGCGCAGGTCCAGGCAGTTGGGCTTCTCCTTGTCCTCGTAGGAGCAGCTGGGCAGGATGGTCTGCCGGCGGCGCTCGGCACACGCCTGGTCCTGGCAGGAGCAGAAGAGCATGCGGTAGGTGTACTCGCTGGGCACGCGGTCGAAGAACTGGCGCAGGGCCTTGTGGCACTTGCGGCGGTTGCAGCGCTCGGTGGGCGAGATCTCGCGGTTGCAGATGGAGATGTAGGAGGAGCGCAGCTTCTTGCAGTTCTCGTTCAGGTTGCAGGCCTTGGCGGCATCCAGGCAGTGGTTGCTCTTGACGCTGACGGCCGGGTCCGCCCCGGTCCCTGGACAGAAGAGGAGAGAGGTCAGAGGCCTGCACAGGCCTAGGGCATCCCCCTCTCCCCACTCCCCTCCTGCTCTCTGAGGACGCCTCTCAGCATCCTCCACACTCTGCCTCAGCTTCCTCGTCTTGAAATGGCCTCCCCTCGGTTGTGGTGAGGGTTAAACAAGGATGGGCAGTCCATACAGTGCTCAGGCAGCACCAGGCACAGAGTACACACGCATGGTGAGTACACGTGTGTACGGTGAGTGCACACGTGTGATGAGCACACATGTATGATGAGTACACGCGTATGGTGAGTACACATGTGTGGTGAGTACATGCATGTACGGTGAGTACACACATACGGTGAGCACACACGTATGGTGAGCACACATGTATGGTGAGTACACACATATGGTGAGCACACACATACTATGATGAGGGCTGTTATTCCATATCATATTTAAGACTCCTCACAAGAAGAAAGGGGAGGAGAAACCTAGTGTTCGTGCGCCACTCTGTTCCCACGTGTGGAAAATGGGGGAGTGGCTGGGTCAGGACCACAAGGCTGGGCGGTAGCTAAGCCCAGACAGGCCGGGCCCTGAGGCCAGTGGCAGCACATGTGAGCAGGCTTCTGGCAGGAACCCTGCTGGCATTTAGGGGGCACATTCTCACAGCAGCCAAGGCCCAAACAGCACCACGGCCACCCCTCACCCACCACCATGCCCTCTGGAGCTGGCCTCATAGTTCCAGTGCTCCACAGTGGGAAGGGGCTGGGCAGGGCGGGGCAGATGGAGGTGGGGGTGCCACCCCAGATGGTTAGTGCTGAGACCCACTAACAGGAAAGCTCTGAGGGGAGCCTGGCGGTGTGAGGTGCAGGCTGAATGTGAGCCCCCGACTCTGCGGGGCTGAGCACATGAGTTTCGTGCCGCTGCCCGTGGGCACAAAGCAGGATTCCCAGGAGTTGCCAGGTCCCACCCCACAAGTCTCAGCTGTTCCACGGGGAACACAGCACAGGAACCATGCGGCCCTCCGCTGCCAGCTGCTCCCATCTGCAGAGTGCCTGTCTGTCCGGACGACAGGCGGTGCGGGAGGCAGGGATCTGGCCCGCACATGCCCCTCAGATGCTCTGGTGAGAGCGGATGGGCGACCATCTAACCCTACTTCTCCATTCACAGGTAAGGAAACGGAGGCCCTGTGTGGAGAGAGGGCTTGCCAAGGTCACCCAGCATGCTGGCAGCAAACCAGAGCAGCCCAGATCCCACCATGGAATGCAGAGAGAAGCAGCAGCTTAAGTTTTAGGTTGGGATACATCTTTTCATTCATTCTTCACCCAACAAACGCTTCCTCATAATTACATGAGCACCACCTCTCATTCGAGGCCCTGCAAGGCGGTGGGAAGGATGTGAGTGAGGCACTGGACAGCACGCCTCCCCACCCATGGCCCGCCCAGGATCCTGAGAACTGCCAGCAGGGGTCCTAGGGTTCCCATCCCTCTCTCAGTAGAGATAGCACGTTGCACCTCTGCACGGCCCGCTCCTTCCCGGTGCTGGGCTGGGTCAGAAGTGTAAGAGGGGCAACCATTCTGGAGAGCTCACCAGTCCAGCCAGAAACTAAGAGGCGGGCGCAGGGGTGAAGGCCTAGGAGTCAGAGCTGAGCCTCTGTCCGCTCCTGGCCCTGCTGCTCATCAGCTGTGGCCTGCACCCCGCTTTGCTCAGTGTCCCTGTCTACAGACATGCCTCCTGCACGGCGTTCTGTAGGCGTGAATGAGCTCTCTCGTCTATCTCCCGCACGGTAATTTTGCCCCGTCTGCTAGTACATCCCATCAGCTATGGCATCCATCTTTAAGGAAACATGGCTAAGCTGCCACCCTATTTTTTCTGCTCCCCTTTAAAGAAAACCCTCAAACAAGGCGTCTGTACCAGCAATCTCCTTATCCCTTCCCATTCTGTCATAAATCTGCTGCAGGCTGGTGGTCAGGGACCCTCCGGCCTAAGCGACCAAAGGACCTAACAACCGGTCAACAGGTCCCTCTGATGGGCAGTGACCACCAGGAGGCAGACGCTCAATGCAGGAGCAACCTCTTGGTAGTCAGTGCACTCCCACAGTCAACCTCTCATGGCCAGCCAACCTCCCGTGGTCTCTTCCCCTGGCCAGCTAGGTGGGTGCTCAGTGCACTTCCACAGCTAACCTTCCACAGCCAGCCAACCTCCCAAAGTTCCTTCCCCCACCTGGCCAGCCCTGATCGGGACTGGGCAAGATGGCCCAATGAGCACTGATTGCCTGAGAGGCTATGGGACCCCACCTATTTATGAATTCATGCATTGGGCCTCTAGTATAAGAATAAAAGAATAAGCTTGGTATTTTGTGTGCTCACAACTGTAAACCTACTTTTGCCCCACCCTTTATTTCTATTAGCCAGCAGTGCTCTATGATCTTATCTCCTACTCTTTCCCCTGCTCAGTTCCTCCACCCATTCCAGCCCACTGGTCTTCTAGGTTTTCCTTGACCTCAGGGCCTTTGCACATGCTGCTTCCTCTACCTGGAAAGCTCTCCCCCACCCCATGACCATTTCTCACTTCCAGAAGGTCTCAGCTCAAATGTTACTTTATCTGTGAGTGGTTCCTGATGGTAATAACAAGTCACTCCCTTTATCAACTCCGATCTGTTTTCCCCACAGCTCTCTTACCACCCGCCTTAGTGTGTGCAGACTTACTCGTTTGTTTGTTTGTATCAAATATTAGCTCCATGAAGGCAGGGGCTTTGTCAGTTGTGCTCTCAGTGCCGTATCCTTATCTCCCAGTGCATGATGGGTGCTAAATAAGCATTTGGTGAGTGAAAAACTAAATGTACTTAGAAGACTATCTAGTTCATAATGAGTGTTCGAAGAGTGTTGGTTAACGCTGTTAAGGAAGACCAGTGGGCAGAGGGCGGGCAACAGTGGCCCATACATGACCACGTGTGATCAAGTATCAATGTGGAGCCCGACCCAGAAGAGAAAGTCAGGGTCAATCATTGAAGATGAGCCGTCGCCCCCACCTCCTACCTCACCACTAGCAGCCCTACAAAAGCAGACAGAGCAAACTCCCTCTCTTCTTGTAAAAACAAAAGGAGAATGAAGGCAGGAAGGGAATCGAGGTTTGTTTTCCTACTCATTCAATGAACAAGTCCTTATTGAGGGCCTACTATGTGCTGGCATTTCTCCAGAGACACAGATGGAGACAGAGGAACAGGCCATGTACGAAGGACGTCAGAGAGGAAAGCGTCCTGCCCAGACCGGGGTCAGAGAAGCAGCGGCATCCCTGCTGAAACCTTCAGGATGAGTCAGAGGAAGAAGAGAGAGAGAAAAGGGACCTAGGCAGAGGGAGCTGACAGCACTCAGTGCCTGGAGGCGGAGACTGAAGGAGGGACCTAGCAGAGAGGACTCTGGAGGCTGAGCAATGGCTTTCCAGTCACAGTGGGGCAAGGGGCCCCGCTAGCAGCTCCCTGAGCTGCTGCCAAACCATTTTGCTTCCCTCCCCCTTCCCTGCCAGACAAGGACCGAGGGTGTCTGTCTACAAACACGACATTCTGGAGGGCTGGCCTCTCAGGAAGGGTCCCCCTGACCCGCCAGGTGGTTCTTTACCGTTCAGGGCACCTGTCGGACGCAGGCAGAGGAAAGAGGGAAGCAGCCTGGGCCGAGGTGGAGGAGAGCGAGGGCAGGAGGAGGCCCCAGAGAGGGGCAGGGCGACAACCACAAACAGCACAGCCGCTAATTTAGGGCCTCTGCCACTTGCAGGTCCCCCAGGTGCTCCGTTCCGCTCCTCTCAGCGTGCTGCTGAGCTAATGCCCGGGTAATTATAGCCTCGTGGCTTCCATTTGGAGCTTGAATAGTGTCAGCTTTTGCTACGGGCTGGCAGATGTAACCCCCTGGGCCAAAACTTGGTAAATTTCCTAGAAAAAAAAAAAAATAGAATACAAGAAACAAAAAAAAAATGTGGCAATAGTAACCGTAATTGCCTAGTTACCAGGAAGATGTCGCTTCTGATCCTCCCCGAGTGGGTCCAGGGGGGGTAGTGTGATCCTCCCACGTGTGATCTGGGATCCTCCCACGTGGTCTGGGATCCTCCCAGAGTGGGCCCTGAGGACGGGCCCACCGCTCACGTGGGGAGTTCGGGGGCTGGCCTTGGCTCCGCCGTCCTTGTGAGGAGGCATGTGCCCGGGCAGGTGGGCCGACCGACAGCCTCCCAGCCCACCACTGCCTCCATCCGCATGGAGGTGCCCCTCGGGTCCAGAGGCTTGTTTTCCTCTTCGAGAGGCCCCATGGGGGAGCAAGCAGAAGGGGCTGGACTCCAGACACCAGCCTCGCCCAGCCCCTAAACTAGAATGTCCAAAAAGCAGGATGGAGGCCCTGCCAGCCCCCCACCACACACACACACACACACACACTCCCCCATACCCCACCCTGTCCCTACACAGAGAGGTGAGACCACACAGGGAGTTGCCGGGAGTCAGAGCTAAACTCTTCCCAGGCCTAGACAGACCCACCCTCGGGGCTCCTTCCCATTGCTCCCCACACGAGTTTTCCAGGCCCGCTGACAGCGGCCAGATGGGCAGGCTCAGCCAGGGAGTGAATGGTGACAGCTGCCCCAGGAGAGTGAGGCGGGGCTTAACCACACCTGGCACTTTCCAAAACTCACCAGCTCCAGCCCCCTGGGACTCATTCTGACTTCTTCATCCCCTCCATTTCTCTCCCTGGGTGAGTGCAGGGTGGGGGGCAGGGAGGGGAGGAGACAGACAACCACCAATAGAGGGGCTGCCTCCCCCCAGCAAGCCTCGCCCACCTCCCCGCTTCAGTCCTGAGTGCTGCCCTAGAACTTCAAACTGAATATCCAAGGTTTTCCTTGGATACACAGCGAGCTCTGGTCCTCCCGGCATCGCCTATTCATTTTTTAAATGTTTTTAAATGTTCCTACACCCACCTAGATTTGTCCTAAGTGATAAGATCTACATTAGTTCTGAATTTTCTAATATGTGTCCCAA